TACTATGGGCTCTGGACTAGATGCGCTCATCTAGGTCTTCATTCCAATATGACCAAGTTGTGAAAACAAGATTAAAAACTGCAACACAACGAAAGGAGACCGCTGTTATATAAAAGGCCACACAATCTTAGCATTCATACCTTTGACTAACTGACTGTCTATTTAACTATCTATTTATCTACATGTGTAAATTCATACAGACAGAAAATAAAGAATATCGCAGTATGGATAAAAACTTGGTCAGCCTAGGTAATACAAACTAAATTGGAGATTGCAAACTAAATTTGCCGGCAATTATACTAGTAGACCTCATGGAGCCATCTAACTTAATTTAGGTATGACTATGAAAAGTCTTTCTCGTCCAGAGTGGATATTAGTTTCAACCTCGCCTAGGTCTCCACATACCCCTAACGGGATTCTATAATGGGTCGTAAGCGTCGTAGCATGTTTACCTTATTGAAACGCACATTATAAATATGATTTGAGAGAAGCTTTGTTTGTCTTAATGTCACATATGTTCCATGATCGACTCAGATGTATAGCGGAGTAATGGGTCCTAAGTGTCGTAGCGAATTTACGTCAAATATAAAATATTCAGAAGTTCCAGAGAAAATGTAAGCCTCACAGCAAGTCTCGAAAACTGCTCACATCAAGACTGTACAATGTCATCGAGTGTGATGGCAAATGCATGTTTACCTCATTGAAACGCACATTATAAATATGATTTGGGAGAAGCTTTGCTTGTCTTAATGTCACATCTGTTCCATGATCGACTCAGATATATAGCGGAGTGCTAACGTCGTCACAGTTAAAAGGCTAAGTTAAATAGCGATTTATGTAGAAAGGTAAAAACGCTTTGTTCTTAGATGATTAAATTTCATAAAGTAATGGAGTCCACCAATAATTTTTTAAAGCTCCCCTTTCAATATATCTGAGCCCACATAGATAAATAACTAACTGGCGTATCTAACAACATATAGATGAATTAAATCCGTAGATCAGATAAATCCTATTGAACTTACCAAAAATGTTCTTCGAGATGTCCAGTTTGTAAGTAAATTTAAGATACGTCGCTTTTTAGCAGAAAGACTCTCATCACAAAACGTTAAAAGGAAAATGTTGTCGGAATCGGTCGGATTGCTCGGTTTGTGTAGAGACTTTGATGAAGAACCCGAAGAATTGAGCCAGAGATTAGCGAGTTCAATAAAACCGAGAAAAGCCTTATCCAGTAACTGACAAGGTGACTTTTGAATAACATCAAGATTCAGTTTAGCAGGAATAATATGTACATCGTTTGGATCAGGTCGCTGGCAGAGGTCCAAGTCGATCATTTTATCGAGGACCTGTAATACAAGAATGTGTTCAGAAATTATGAGTAACTGGATGATGTATAAGGAAGTATAATCAATAGATTACAATGTAGAAGAGTAACTTAAAGAGCCCAGAAAGACAATGTAAATAGATTCATTCCTGCACCGATTGAATCTCCAACATATATTCTTCATAAAAATGCTTTTTGAAAAGTCATGGCCAGCTACAGGAATCAAGTCAGTAGATGACTCGGCTTTCTTTCAGCTGCATATATAATTTCGGTCGAGACAGGAATTATTGCATGATAAGTCTGCATGAAGGTTTTTATGTACCGAAAATTATATACCTCAATTAGCATTTTACTGGGTCTATGTTCCTACAAAGGAGAAAACTGCTATAAGAATGAAGAGCGAATGAGGCACAACTACTTCTGCAGTAGGAATATGGAAGAACCAAAAAATAAGGTATATAAAAAAGTAAAGGTAATATAATATTTTTTAGAAAGCATAAATATAGCATCCATAATTAAAAGATGGCACTTTGCTATCAACAAATCAATCCATCTTTAATTATTTTCCCAATAGAAAAATAGTTACAGAAAGGAGAAGCAAAAAAGGCGGATCAATTTCAGATGCTGATGTGAAGGGTGAAATAAATGCTAAAAAAGGCCAGTTCATTTACCGGGATGCCAAGTAAATCGAGCAGGAAACCGTGCGTACTGCCCTCAAGATAAGTCTCCTGAAGACCAGTAGTCAAAAAAGTTGTAGATGCAGAGCCAGTTGCCTCTGAGCCCGAGCTTTGATAACGTACATGGCCGGAAGACGGTGGATGGTGGGTATCCTGGAGAAAACCAGGCCATGTTCCGGTCAGATGGCTGACAGTGGAATTGAGCAGGATAAGAGAATGGGCAAGTAGAAGAGGTGGTGAGACGTTATGGCTTTCCGCAGTAGAGGAGTAGCAAGCCTTGTCGGTGGTATTATTGATATCGGAA